ATAGGTGGGAACTGTTTGGTCTGAATAGATGATCACCAATAATCTAAACAGGCCTCAGAGGTATATAGTTCATGAACCGTCGGCAATTGATTTTACCTAACAAACAGCTCTCTGGTGGAGGATATCGCACCCGAAAAGGTGGGAACAGTTTGGTCTGAATAGATCATCACCAATATTGTAAACAGGCCTCAGAATTATATAGTTCATGTATGAATGATCTCAGCCAAAAAGTGATTTGGAGTACCCTAAAAAGAAGAGGGTGTTGTTCTATGTAAAGGACTGAGGGAGGGAGAAATCTTGAACCCGAAATTTCCCATCATAGTCGTCTTATGTGATTGGCACCAGACACACGTTTCTACCAGCAACCCGAATTAAAGGCATAGATAATACAGATCAGATTACTCCACTGAGTTCCAGCTCAGGTTCTTTGAAGCGGTCAAAAACGGAACGGAATGTTCAGCCTGGTTTTTAATTTACTGGATATTGGATCCAGTAGCAGCTGTAGCCAAAAAGAGCTTCTCTGGGAGCTTAATGATGTACAAGAACAAGGAAAAAACGATCAGGACCTGGTTTTTAATTTACTGGATATTGGATCTAGTAGCAACTGTAGTCAAAAAGAGCTTCCCTGAGAGCTTAATGATGTACAAGAACAAGGAATTAACAACCAGGGGTAGTCAGTGTTCAGACAAGTGGTCTGAAAGGACAGACGAATAGGCTAGTCTACAGGTTTGAGATCCAAGCCAATCCGCCATACGAGAATAAACCCTGGGGAGTGTGAATCACAAACGAAGTGTTGTGAATAAATTCTGAAGGACACAGAAATAAAACATCGTTATTCCTGAGGGCGAAGGTAGAAAAAAACAAGATATTTACTGTTTCAGGTTAGCTTATTCAGATGCCGTTTTAGGCTCCGTTGGGACGTTGCGAACCTTACCGGATATACCTATTCCCTTATAAGAGAAAGTATCAATGGCATTTAACATGAACAAGTGCACCAGGAAGAAAATGACCACTGGCAGTACAGTTTTAAGCTTATCATAGCGGAAGATCTGTCAAACGTGTAACAGAAGAATGTACACAGTTGTCGATTTCAGATATCGGTGGGTAAAAAAAAGGCTTGTACGAAAACCAACTACCTATGTGTAACACATTCGGCGCATTACTTATCCTGGGCAGTTTATTGGAACGCTTGCTTTTTACTGTCCATGACTCACGAGGGATACCCAAGCCCCTGACATCCAAATTATTCTCTGGATGGTTTAAAAACCAGAAATGAATGTCAGTCATCCAGGTGGATGTTGACAGTGTAACTAGTGGTTAGCTCATAAATGCTCAACAAGAGAGTTTTTCAAGACTTTATTGAGCGCAGAAAACAAATGTTGGTAGGCTAGTCAAAATAATTACGTGTCCATAGTGGCTGCCACATTGTACAAAACTATCTATTGGGTATTGGTTCCTGTGAAAATGAGTCATGCTTTGGTTCTTTGTTTGAAGATTTCGCATTTGTGACTGCAGTGGTTTGATACATTGCCGAAGAACTCCGATCCCATTGATACACATGCCTCTTCGGAATGCTACATTATCCTCTGCTAGTTGATTCACTGTTTCCCGAGGAACCAGACCTGGACTTACAATTGCGTCTTGAAAGGTGACTCATCAATTGCTGTTGTGGCATCATCAGACGCTTTACAAAGACAATGCGCATGACATACTTTGACCTAGTGCTTAATAAGCGGTATGCCTCGGAAATGTCAATATTATTACTTCGGTAGGTTGTTTTCTGGAAAAAGTTCATTCATTCATATAGAATTCGACGAAACAGATACTGAGGAGACTGGACGCTCTGTATTTTTTGCATGGAATGATCGATCGTATCAAATGCTTAACTACCCTTGTCGTGAGTTTGGGGTTTCCATCAAAAACTGCGGTGAGTATTTTCACTGCCTTCTCAGCAGCTGAACAATGTGCATTAGATTTCTCAGTGTTACTGTACGCCGTAATCAAATTCAGTTAAGTAGCTATCTCTGGGACACTGGAAATTACTACCTACTTGCGTATAGTTGTTTGCACCGGTGTTGAGCGGCTACTCAGCTGGAATTTGGTTCATGCCTTTGGGGAATAGTGGTCTGGTAAGCTGCTATCTGCATAGGCCTGAAGAGCCCCGAGACACAACAGCTCAGTGCTCGAGCGCAAACGTGTCAATCAAAATGAAGTACACTGTTTTCTACAATCGTAATTCCCCGGATCCATAAAACATATGGACGCACATGCCTGACTCACCGCTTACCAGTGTTTTTACTGAAGTGCAACTGGATTGCCTAGGTGAGGTTCTGCTATCTATAGCTAACATCTGCCAAAGACAAGTTGGTTGTGACTTCTGAATATAATCCCCTGACTCAGGTGACAGATGACCAGTAAAAGTACTAATCCAACTACTCCTCGCCCACATAGGTATCCATTCCTACCTAAGTGGCCTGCTGGTGATCATTTCTTGAGGAGCAATGGTTTAAAAATTTATCTGAGAGAAGTGTGGTGGGCCGCTGGAATTTTGAAGAAGTAACCGGTGAAACCAATACCCTCTATTTCTGGCGATTCTAGAGAGTAGTATAGCATCAAACTGTTGTGGTCATATATACATGAGTATATTTTGTACTTTGTTAGGGGGTCATTATGAATTCGGTTTTCCCATTTGAATTTTTGAAGAGAAGAAACTGTATGACTGTCACAAGTGTTCAAGCTGTGACGTAAGCTGAATGAGTTTGTTTCGCCATGTAGATTTGTGTCACTTTTTATTTGACGTACCCTCAGCATAAATACCTGTTCCAGGACAGATGACAAACCCTATGTTGCTGCCGATAAGGCCGAATCCACTTAATAGAACGCCATCTGACACACTGGATTCCACAAACTTGGTTGTGTTTGATGCATCGTTCGCTACCACGAACCCCTTGATTAATTAATATGGAATAATTTCGACTCATTTTGAAGTATTAGGTCTTTCCGTGAACGCCAGAACACCAGCAGATGGAGAGAAATCCAGCTAGGATGCAGGTGAGTTTCTCCTGAAAACCTGATTGGTATGCAAATGAGTGCATTTGACTGGTGGTTTCCCTGGTAAGTACACAACTTAAAGTATGCACGGTATGACCGGAATACCAGAAATTTGCAGCATGTTGCTTATTGTAAGAATGTATTTCCTATTCTAGTCATTTGACTACCCAAGCTAACAGCCATCGACAGTATGCCCTTTCTGGCTACCCGTTAAGAAGTACAGACACTTTATTATTCGAAATAAAAATTAAGAAAAAAATAAAAGAATAAAAAATAAAAAATCGAATGCACCAAACAGAAATCTGGTACCACAGATGCATTTACGTGATTGTACAACACTGATCAATAAGATGGAAGGTTACCGCAATACTGCATAGTACTTGTGACTGGTACTTTCGACTTAGTTCAAAAATCAAACCATCAAAATCAGGCCAATATATTGGCGTATAGTTGTCTTTTCCGAAATACGAACTCAAGAATCTGTTGGTCTCATCTAAAGTTTGTACCTGTTTCCAAAATAATGCGATGGCCTTTGTCAAGGCTTCGCGGCGGCGCTCTCAGAAAGTGAACTGATTTAACGATTAGTCAGCAGTCAACTGGCTGTTCTAATTGAGGAGTCTACCTGTTCTCTTCGTTTCACGTGATTTAAGTCCTCAAAATTCACAAACAAGTCGCCTGCACTGACAGGTGTTCAGCGATGATGATCTAGTGTGTGCAGTCTAACATTCCTCCTTACGACACACAGCACGAAACAGCGTTTGGGTCCCATGGACAGTCCAGTCGCAGTCAGCCGATTAAAGGTGATTTGCAGCTAAAAGGTATCCGGCAGCTTGATGAAAATTTATTCCCACTTATACATGAACTCAGGAACCGAAGGGAACTTTTACAATCCACCAGTTTGCGGACAACTTTTTCTCCATTGTTTTAAACCTTCCCCATTATATTGTGTGTTCTTCTATCCATACTGGAGGTACAGTTGAGCCGGTTATGCTACTGAGCTAGATTTACTGATGGTGTGTAAAGCTACTAATACAAGATAACAATGCAATAACAATTGGGTGAGCATCTGCGGGCGCTGGCCACTTGACTTCATGCTCGTTTCGTCCGACGCCTACCATAGTTCATTACCCACGAAGGGTATCAGTTGATTAGAGGACAATCGCTAACACACAAAGTATTCAGACGTGTACCCTCTGTTGAACAACACGCACACTGTCTCTCAACAAAGCTTAATTTCAACAGGTATTTCAACGTTAATCAGTTTACTGTTTGCGGGATCATCGTGAGGATAGTTGACTCTGGTACACCACGTTTTCACATAACTGTAACCATTGATATAAATGGTTTCCGCAGATGACAAGCGGTAGGGGACCCCCACATGAACACCGGTCATCACTGAGTACAGTTTAAACGAACTGTCAAAAAATAATGCGAACATCCGTGTTATTGTCGTCATCTTCGGCAATAAACCCCCTCATTTGATCTTATTCTGCCAAACTTTTCTCATGCCATGTTGCATCCATAACATAGGTGTTGAATGATTACATAAATGCAGTATGGGATGCGAGTTAAAAAGCCCTATATGAGATTATTTGCTTTCATTTTCTTGAAAGATCGAAATTCCCTTAGTTGGTCTATTAGTTCCGCCAGATTTTAAATAGATATTGCAAAACGACGTTCTGTGTTACGTGAGAGGTGAAAGTGCCCTAAGATGAAGTTGATAAATTGGAATTTCTATACGTCTCCCATCATATGGAGTTCTCAAAATCAGTAAATCTATCGTATTATTAGTGGAGTCGATTCTTTTGGTTGAATTTGTGAAGCCCCGGCGAAATTATCATAACAGCCCATACTCTTTTGTGGAGATTTCGTCCCGCAATTGAGGTCAATCTACGCCGAAAAACCCAGAAGCACTGTACAGGTGTTTCATCCTCATTGAAAACTATCAGCCGTGTACATCCTATGAAGCTCCGGAGAGTCTCGAACCCTCGAAATCCTGGCTTGAACATGTTTGAAGGAACGGCGGAAACTGCTAGTTAATCATACTGCCTAGCAGCCGCTCGTGGCTGAACGGCTAAGTGTTCAAACTACCAACCAGGAGTTTGTGGATTTGAGACTCTCCAGAGTTTCCTGAGCACATTGCAGATGATTCCCAATAAAAACGAAACAGCTGAACAGTGCCCCTTGGCCTTTCAGCATAGAGTGGCTTCACATACAGGACAAAATCTCCATGGAAATTCTAAAATCTCCTCCCATTACCGACACCCCAGATTCTTTTCGACGGATTTCCCACAATCAACGTTCCCCAATCGTTCACATTTCACAGCTTATTGAGTCATCTGGTCAAGAATGTACAAAAAAATAGCGGTAAAATAGAGGGTACAAACTTGATCCGTTCCTTTGGAATTAGTGTATGGGTCCGAAGTTGGAATTTTGAAAGTATATAAATCATAGGTTCTTTAAATAGTTAAAATGACTCAAAGACACTTCGTGGAATTCCGTTAGCAGCTCAGGCAACCTAGTTTATGAAGCAAGCTACTGCATATAGGAGGTTAGGTGGCTGTTGGGGATATCAATATCCCCCAGAAAACGCTGTGTTTTTGTGTGTGCTAGCGAACTCCCGGCATCTTCAAGGTCAAACTATGAAAAATCAATGGCTCATTGATACTCCAAGGAAATTTAAATCCAACCACGTACAGCATACCATTCTTTCCACTGACTTGGGTTCGGAAGCTCCGGGCATCGCCTGTTGATCGTGTGTTGTTGGATTATTAAAGTTTGTGTCCGAGGTTTTCGTCTTCTTACTATTCGCCGTGCTAGGAGTCTGGATCAAGCAACATAGCTGGGGATAGAGTATTGCCACAATCCGCATTATCATATTGTTTGCTCGCTGCGTGACCGAACCGTAACATATTTGGCGACGCAAGATGGAGGCAGAACAACTCAAAGTAATGTTTGAGCAACAACTGCAACTCATCAAAGTACTTACGGAGCGACTATCAACTACATCTTTGGCTTCACCGGCGGCGTCGAGTGTCCCACAGTCGGTTGATGGAATCGCTGGCAGTATCAACGAATTTTGCTATGAACCCTCAGCTGGCATAACGTTTGATGCTTGGTTTCGTCGCTATGAAGACCTGTTCAGGGTCGATTTTTCACTTCAAGATGATAGTTGGAAGGTTCGCCTCCTGCTCCGCAAACTTGGACCCGCAGAGCATGATAAGTACGCTAACTATATTCTGCCAAAAAACCCGCGCGATTTCACTTTTGATGAAACGGTCAACACGCTTTCACAAATATTCGGTGAGCAAACGTCACTTTTCAACATCCGTTATCGATGCATGAAGCTAGTGAAGAGTGATGCAGACGACTTCCTCACATATTCTGGCATCGTGAACCGAGAATGCGAACGGTTCAAACTCGGATCGTTAACGGAAGATCAGTTCAAGTCGCTGATTTTCATATGTGGTCTACAATCCCCGAAGGATGCAGAAATCCGTACCCGACTCCTCAGCCGCATCGAGCAGGACCCATCCATGACGCTGCAGGCCGTCACCTCGGAGTGTCAACGGTTGCTTAACCTGAAGCATGACACCGCGATGGTCCAACTCGGGGGTCATGGCGGTTCCGAGGTTCATGCAATACACCAGGATACGCAACAGCCTGGCCCTGTCAATTCTGGCCCAACCAAATCGACCTCGCAGTGTTCTGGTCCGAAGCAAAACAAAGGCTCAAAGAAGACACCACCTTCACAATGTTGGCACTGTGGAGCCTGGCACTTCGTCAGGTTCTGTCCTTACAAGAAGCATCGGTGCCGCCAATGTAAGTCCGTGGGACACAAAGATGGATATTGTCAGTCACTGATGCATACGGCCTCTGCTGTTTCAAAGCAATCATCACGCATCCGTCCCAAACCGAAATCGAACCCTGTTGGCTCCTCTCTCAGTTTGCTGGCTACTTTCCAGATCAACACGCCAGGTAACCGGAAGTATCTGACAGTCACCGTAAATGGTCATCCAATCCGTCTGCAGTTGGACACTGCGTCGGACATTACCATCATTTCGGAGAGGCTTTGGCGCACGCTCGGGCAACCTCCGATCAGACAAGCAGCTCGAACTGCAACCAGTGCCTGCGGTGGAGAGTTAAAACTTTCCGGTGAGCTCCAGTGCTGTGTATCTTTTCGAGGAACTACATTTGTGGGGTCGTGTTATATAACGGCAACTGAGTTGAACCTATTGGGTCTTGATTGGTTCGATCGCCTTGGGTTAGCCGACATTCCAATCAGCGCCGTTTGCAATGCAGTTCAGTCTCCTACAGCGCATCCAGATCATGCATCCGACATTATGGAGCGATTTCCAATTGTTTTCCAGTCCGGTCTCGGTCAGTGCACTGCGACACAAGCAGTCCTCCACCTCGTGCCGGGAGCTACGCCAGTCTTCCGTCCAAAGAGACCAGTTCCGTACGCTTCCCTCCCACTGGTAGATGCCGAACTTCAACGGTTGGAAGAACAAGGCGTTCTGTCCCCTGTATCCTACTCTGCCTGGGCAGCGCCGATCGTTGTAGTAAAGAAACCTAACGGTGGCATCCGCATATGCGCCGATTTCTCAACCGGCCTAAATGCAGCTATCCAGCAGCACCATTATCCACTACCAGTACCCGACGATCTATTCACTGTTCTGAACGGTGGGAAGTTCTTCGCCAAAATCGACCTGGCTGAAGCGTACCTTCAAGTTGAAGTCGCACCAGAATCACGCCCACTACTGACAATCAACACACACCGCGGGCTGTATCAGTACAACCGTCTTCCGTTTGGCGTCAAAACCGCCCCAGCAATTTTCCAGCAATTGATGGACACCATCCTTTCTGGCATTCCAGGTGTGGTCGCATACCTGGACGACGTGCTGATCGTTGCTGTTTCCCCCGAAGAGCTTCGTGAGCGAATCAATGCCGTCTTACTGCGCATTCAGGACAATGGCCTCCGCCTCCGTCCCGAGAAGTGTCAATTCTTCTTGACAACTGTGAAATATCTTGGGTTCATTTTTGACGCCTCTGGTCGCTATCCTGACCCGGAAAACGTTCGAGCTATACAGCAGATGCCACCTCCTAAGGATGTACCATCATTACGTTCCCTTTTGGGGTTAATCAGCTACTATTCGGCATTCCTGCCTTCGTTGCACGACATCCGGCCCCCGCTAAATCGGTTGCTTGGAAAGGATGTCCCCTGGTGTTGGTCAGACGAATGCGAGGAAGCATTCTGCAAACTAAAGACGATGCTCAGTTCTGATCTGCTACTTACCCACTACGACCCAAAGCTGCCGATCGTTGTGGCAGCTGATGCCTCTAATTTTGGTGTCGGTGCCGTCATTCTACACGTCTTTCCAGACGGATCGGAGAGGGCCATTATGCATGCGTCGAAATCACTAACCCCAGCAGAACAGCGATACGCACAGATAGAGAAAGAAGCGTTGGCCTTAGTGTTCGCGGTTCGGCGTTTCCACAAAATGTTGTATGGCCGCCGTTTCACCCTACTTACCGATCATAAACCATTGCTCTCCATTTTCGGCTCAAGGAAAGGTGTTCCCGTACACTCTGCCAACCGCCTGCAAAGATGGGCCCTGATTATGCTGGGTTATGACTTCGATATTCAATATCGACGCACCACCGACTTCGGTCAGGCCGATGCATTATCTCGGCTGATCAACAACCAGCCAACACCCGAAGAAGACACGGTTATTGCGCATGTTGCATTTGAGGACCCAGCCGACCCACAGTTGGTCCAGTCCGTTCGTGCCCTGCCCGTGACAGTAACAGAGGTTCAAAGAGCTACCACAGCTGATGGAACGCTTCAAAAGGTGATCCGATTCATGAATTCTCGGTGGCCTTCGAATCTCAAAGATGATTCCCTTCGACAGCTCTTTCATCGCCGAGATGCATTAGCGATCGTAAAAGATTGTTTAATGTTTGGAGATCGCGTGGTGATTCCGCAACCTTTACGCCATCGAGTTCTTCGTCAGTTCCATTCTGGACATCCAGGAATCAACCGTATGAAGTCAATAGCTCGCAGTTACGCATACTGGCCGCACATGGACCAGCACATCACTGATTTTGTAAAACGCTGCTCCCGATGTCAACAAGCTTCAAAGAATCCGCCACACCAACCACCGGTTCCCTGGCCTCGACCTGAAAAGCCCTGGTCTCGGATCCACATTGATTACGCAGGACCGATAAATGGCACTTTTTATTTGGTTTTGATTGACGCTTTTTCCAAGTGGCCAGAAATCGTTCCGGTGTCATCTCCAACAACATCTAGTACGCTGAGAGTGTTATCCAACATTTTCAGTCAGCATGGATTACCGGAGTCCATAGTCTCAGACAATGGTTCGCAGTTCACCTCTGCTGAGTTCCGCGACTTCTGCACTCGACATGCGATAACACACGTTCGTTCACCACCGTACCACCCACAATCGAACGGTCAAGCAGAAAGGTTCGTCGACACATTCAAGAGGGCTTTGCTTAAAGCTCGAGGGGAGGAGACATCCGTCGAAGCCCTTCAGAGATTCCTGTTTGTGTACCGAACGACCCCGAATGACGCTTTGGCAAACCACCAGTCACCTGCAGAGGCACTCATGGGCCGTAAACTTAGAACTGTGCATTCTTCCATGTTGCCAACACAACCTACTGAGTCAAGGTCCATACCGGTGGCAGTTGGAACTCCATTCAAGGTGGGAACGCCCGTGCTTGTCCGTGACTATCGCCCAGGACATGATTCATGGATTGCAGGTCGTATCCTGCGCAAACGCGGTAGTGTAATGTACGACGTGTCGGTTGGTCAAGACACCTGGACCAGACATCAAAACCAACTCCGCTTTAACAGCACGCCGGAAACTCAAGTATGTTCGGGTAGCATACCGTTGGACATATTGCTCGATACTTTTGAGCTGAAAACTGAGACAGCTTCGAAAGAGGAGAGTGTGACCGGCAGCTCAGTATTTGATCCAACACTTCTTCCCAGGCGGTGGACAGACCGACGCCGCCGCCAGCCGGAGCGTATCCAGGTCGACCCCCGTCGAGTACGCTACTGACTTTTCACAAGGGGAGGTGTTGGGGATATCAATATCCCCCAGAAAACGCTGTTTTTATGTGTGCTAGCGAACTCCTGGCATCTTCAAGGTCAAACTATGAAAAATCAATGGCCTATTGATACTCCAAGGAAATTTAAATCCGACCACGTACAGGATACCATTCTTTCCACTGACTTGGGTTCGGAAGCTCCGGGCATCGCCTGTTGATCGTGTGTTGTTGGATTATTAAAGTTTGTGTCCGAGGTTTTCGTCTTCTTACTATTCGCCGTGCTAGGAGTCTGGATCAAGCAACATAGCTGGGGATAGAGTATTGCCACAATCCGCATTATCATATTGTTTGCTCGTTGCGTGACAGAACCGTAACAGTGGCTTTTCCATAACTCATTGCCTCTACATTGCGAGCGAAGTTTTCCAATCTATTTGCAGCCGTTTGTTAAATGTACTGCGTGCATTCCGGGTTGAATATAAAGCCAAGATAATGTTTCTGTCTTTGACAGTAATATCAAGAGGCAATCGCTGCAAACGTTTTCCGAGAAAGGTTCAGCACCATTTTTGATTGGTCCAACTTAAATAACCTCAACGTAATTATGCAATTCATGTGTCTAGGAGGCTAGCTTTGGTGTTTACTCACATAATGTTGCAAGTTTCCTTCAAGTGCAGTCTTCCTTTTTCACCTGGTGCATGTGTTTCTATCCCACTCAGAAACTTATGTACCGATAGCATTGATTTATCATTCTGAATTCACTGGGGCCAGTTAGCACAGTAAAATTATATACAAAAGTACACCGCAGGGCAGGTTCGATGGAAGGGTAGAAGAACGGGCATCCTTTTTTCCCAAATGTCTCCCGGAGATCCTAAAGTTTTTTGTTTATGTGGACCAGGTGAGCGTTGTTGACCTTCTGTCAACCAATCACGGCCTAAATAGGTAAATATTTTCAGCATTAGTTGATTCACTTACACAAAATGGCTTTTCCAAACCTAGCAATTTTCGTAACAGTTTCCCAATTATTTATTCTGGTTTTCGGAAGTAAATCGTGGTGTGTTCAAATGATTCCGACCTGCCGAATTTTAATCAATTATTAATTTTTCTGAACGCAAAATTGCGCTGCTTTCATTCTCACACTATGAACACTTCATCGTTGTTTAATCTTGGAAGTACGTCTAGTGTAGAAAACATTCATGAAGTGTAGTATTCATTCATTTGGCTATTTAGCACTTCGATGCATAATTAATCTTGGTACACAAGCTTCGTTTATTTTTGGTTCCATTCAAAATTGCATCAACTTACTGCATTTTTTTCATTCTGAAATTTTACTGGTCCAAAATAAAACTCACCGCATTTTCACTAACCTACATGTGGCTCAGAAGCTAGTTTGTGTGCCGCATTCGGAGGGTAGCCTCACACAACAACTCATTAGAGTTTTTCCTCTTCTTAACCCCTGTTGTAGATTTCCTTTTAGACCCGTTCATCGAATGCGACGTAAATACTGAGAGGGTCTGGTAAAGATTTTTTATATTCTTGGTGTACAACAAGCGGTAGACCAAAACGTTGTGTTGGATGTGAACGGATAAAAGCTCAGGCACCCACATTTACTGAGAAACAGAAAGAGGACAACGTGGAACATCGTGCAATGGAGCAAAATGTATTGACCTTACACATCTGCTCCATCCAACATGAAAACCGTATTGTGTCAATCGTTCAAGAAGCTATTATAACAACTCTTTGATACATGTTTTAATCGGAAATCGCATTTAATCTATGTGACGCTAAACATTTTTTCAGTGGAAAACGAGTGAAATGCGTCCACTTTTGTATGCATAAATGAAGTCTAATAATAGTATTATGAATTCTTCAATAGACAGGAAGTGACAATTCTCTGAAGGCTAGGATTTTCAATGTTTGTCACATCATACTGCTTCTAGGGATAACTTCGGATAACTCGCGCAAACATTTATTGATGCACTAGCTGAGATAATATTTCCCGCAAGATGTAAATTTCACTGCATGTGCTTCAATATCAAGCCATTTGTTGACAGCTTCCTAGATCGTGTGTATAGGTTCAAGTACCAAGTAGACCAAGCTCTTGTACTTTTGGTGAATCAGTTCTTTGAAGAGTGAATTTTTAGAAATTGATGAATGTATTCGACCGATGGTTTATCAGCGGACATTTGCCAGCCTGGAAACACCTAAATCAAAACCGACTAATATCAATCTGCCATTTAGCGCTTGAACCAAGAGACGCGTTTGTGTCCTTGGGAAAATTCACTGAGGGGTGCGATTTGATTGCAAATGTGATATCATCACTTCCATGTGGGTAGAAGTGAGTTGAGGTGGATTTGCGTTATTGTTTTGCGTAAATGGACAGTTATAGGCTCTCCTTACGCAGGTTGACCTTGACTGGTCATTGCTCGTTTGGTTGAGCATTCCTATTAGCATGCTAGTCAACCTGTCTTCTGAGTCGTGGATGTCCGCGTAGACAGGATCCACTAGGATATACCAGTTGATTGGATCCTTTGTAGAGTGCTATGCTTTCAGGAATTCTTCACATGTGTTGTAGTTTCCCATGTCATGAACTTCAGATTTTATGGCCTAAGCTATTGTATGGTATAAAAAAAGAAGTTTACGTTATGTTTACGTTGTGTCCCTTTATCTTTGTGGAAAGTTTTCTACCGGTCCATCGGTCTTCAGTTTCTGATATCCTTGCGCGATAGGGATGATGTGTGCAAACATAGGTGGTGGGGTTGACAAGGTGTCCAAAATTTTGACACAACCTGCCGAATTAAATGCGCAAACAAAGTAACTTGGAATAAATTACCATTTTGCGAATGTACAACATGGTTCGGATGTGAACGAAAAAGGTATGAAAGTACTTTAAAGTGAAAATGAAAGTACTTTAAAGTACTTGAAAGTGATTTCTGAGTTCAGGCCATCTAACCAGCCGAGTATTTTATATTGGTCCTAACATCTTAAAGCAGGTGGCATACATCAAAAGACCAACTTGAAACGGTTAAGCATATTTGGATAGGAAGATGATGTTATGTTTCAGTTCTGGGGGCAGTTGTTTGAACATTGAATGTTATCTGATTACTCTGATCACACCCAAATGGTGTTCTACTTCGCTACCCAAGACACTAGAACGTCGGATTGTGATACCGTTGCCCATGAAATTCTTTTTTGAAGCTAAACTTTCGCATGTAGCCGAATGACCAAGTCGTTTATTTCTCATTTTCAACGTTGCTGTTTTTGAGGTGGGCGAACTATTTTGTCAACTGCGTGGTTGGGTTTATAGAAACAAACAGTTGACATGAGAGGAAGCGCTTACTGTTTGGGGTTAAAAACAAATGTATTGCAACAAAATGCTTTTTATACGGTCCCATCAGGCAGGCAGATAATCTAAAATCCACAGGAAGAGCAAATTTTAGTAGAATCGGTCGACAGAACCATAAAAGAATCTTCAACCCACTAGAGACCTTTTGATGGATTGATGGTAGCCATTTGACTTGGCTTATGACCATGGCACCTCCAGTGATTTCACGCTACGCTTCTTAGAAAACGGGTTCGCTGTTGCACTCAAATTGGGGTTTATCAGTGCCCAAATGTAACAAATCGGAAATACCCGGCTTTCTTCCTACGTTTGTCTCTGCCTTTTTTTTGGGACACTCATTTGAGGGTGCATTCCTGNTGCATTCCTGCAAATATGTGATGCCTACCATTGTCTCTTCAGCGAGAAGAAGATTCCGGAACGTGTTAAAACTTGAGAACGAATCCTGGCATTTCGCATCTCTACCGTAAGCTCAGTAGGATTTCCAGTAACAGCGACCAAACAAGAACGGATAATGCGCCGTATTCAGATCTGGTCCAAAATGATGTCAGATGTGCAAAATGACACGTTGCTCGTTCCGCCCATCCTGAAGCGAATTCGTCTTTGGCACAATCTGCAAGTTATACGGGATACCTACACCTCTGCAAGTAAAATGCAGGCCGTGGGTTTAGGTTATCTCTCCCACATTTTTATAAAAACATTTTAAAGCGAATTTGGATTACACGTCCCCATTGTCCCAAGATATGTACCTACGGAATAAAACAGTGTTCGCGGATAGGAACGTGTAACCGTAGCGAAGATTTATTAACTTCAAAATTTGAAAGCTGGAAGCGAAGGGAATTTTTGTCTGTATTATCCCCTGGAAAAGTGAATAGATTCTAGTATCATCATCCTCGCTAAAATTGAAGGAACACAATCCCTTTATTTACCAAATCAGTTTCTTTTACCAGTTTCGATAACAACTCCAACGGCTTCTGTGCGAACCTAAGTTATAGATGATAAGTTTGGTGTGGTTGCCTCTAACAAGCGCATTTGGCCATATCATGATGTCCTCATTTCATCTAACTTATTCTTTCGCACCATCTTGCCAGATCGATTTCGGATAAAAGCGAAGAAATAAAATCATTTTGAAGTTTGAAAATAGTATGTTATACTATTTGACCGTTGCTAGTACGTCGTGCCTGAATTTAAAGAGAAATTCGGCACAAAATTTCATTTTGAAATTAGCGAAAAAGTACCGTACTGATTAAAGCTCATTTTGGGTTGTATTTGAAAAAAACACAAACCATAATTAGCGAATGTACACTCATTTGCAAACTAATTTGGTTTCTTCGAGAGACTCACTTGGAACCATGAAGAATCTCTTGTTTATGAATGTGCTGCACCAGGCTGCCTCATGTTTCAGTCGCTACGATATTCAAAATATCGTGATACATGTACATCTTTGAAATTTTCTACTCGCGACCGGTGTAGCATTTTTTGGGACTCATCAGGTAGGCATAGTCCCCGAATTTCCGCCAACCTTATGTTCCACTTGAAACCAAATTGCACTCGATGACTGCGTCTACCTGATGAGCCCCAAGAAGGGTGAAACCGGTCGTGGGCTGTCGACGGATTTTCAGCAAACTTATGAGTAGCACATTACAACGATATACAAACTGTAATGCCTAATTTCAGTTTACTACTGGTTTTCACAATATTTTGGAATATTTTGTCCAGTCAACAAAATTTAATTGGACGACCGAGCCGCCCTAATGGTGCTCAAAATTGAATATAGTATCGAGCTTGTTTACCACGAACACGGTAAATAGCCAACTTCAAGAAACATACTGCATGACCTCGGTTGCTATGCTGGAATTACACTGAACCTTAAGAGCGAACTTCATAACTCATTTTCGCGGACTACGGATGACAGGTTTATAGCTCATCGGCTTTGCAAACACGAGTTTGTAGTAAGAAAGAAAAATTTTGAGTTGAACTAGCACGACATTTTGATTAAATGAAAACTTGCTGAATTCACAAGTACATGGATACTGCGGTCAGCTGAATCAATTACCTCAAAGTCTAATAAAGACATACGAATCGTCTTACGTGATGAAGGACTATTAAAGATGTCTCGTACATGCCGCTACTTGACCTGCTACCCATCGAAATGTTCAGACTAGCTTGACAGTGGCTGAACGTTATTAGTATTCACCTAAGGAGTTTCAGAGGAAATCAGAGATACACAATCTGTCCAAGTTCAAGGAGGACAGGACCCTCAGAAGAAACACATGCACCCTAAAATGTAGCGCTGGCTTTTTTCCTTCATGTACCTGAACAACTTATTTGAACTACGGCACCTTTACCACATACGCGTCAGAGCATCAATGTCTATTCCTGAATAAACCGAATACTTCGTCCTACTTTTTGTGCCAGAGTAGTCACCATCACTATCGACTGCATAACACAAGAGCTCAACACTGATGCTTCGATTCCGAAAATGAATACACTCGAAATGAAAAGAATGCAATCGTCTAACATTCTGCCACACTATCGTGGGATTCGCCGATATCAAAGCTGAATCGAAATCTATAATTCTGTTTGGTGAAAACAAAACATGTTAGGATACAGAGGCGCAAGACAAATCCATGGGAAACCCAACCACTCATGCCCTGGGAAGTATTAACCGAGTTATGACCAAATATCACTGACTAAGTGAACGACAGGCATACTGACTCAGGGCGTACAATCAGTGAACTGTGTTCGAAAGAATAAAACAAAGCCAACAGGTGTGATTTGGGGAATTATCTCAGGTTAACGTGCTCCGCGAAATTCCCTCTGACATCCACAGAGGTAATTGTTTCTGCGAGCATAGAACGCTGTAGTGTTTTTTCGGATTTTGGGTCTACCCTATTAAAATGGGCATCTCTGCCATATGTTTCCACACACGTCTGGAAGCTACATTTTGAGCTTATGCCATTTAATTCCACGGTGTTCAGCTGGGATCAAGCTGCTTCATGCTTGTGGTCATTCAGAACAACTACGCACTATACTCTGAAATGTCATCCGTTATACAAAACAATTTGGAACACATCAAATACTACATACCTCAGTTGTCATTAAGCTATTATATACTCGCACAGTCACTTGCCTACAGCATCTATGGCCCTAGGTTTGGGGATGTACGTAAATACTACTGAAGTGCTCGATTGCTTCCAGACTGCTCCTTGAGCCACCTAACTTAATCGACCGTGGTGCTGTTTTGATTTATGCTACACTGCTAGTAGTTCGGCCACCGAGTGAGTGATGATGAATCGATGAACTTCTCAACAGGACAGGATTTTCATCTTCGGATGACCTTGGAAACAGATTCTAAAGAACCACCGTCTGTGACTTTATACGAAAACTGTCCAGTATTTTGCAAACACTACATACATTTTATGCGGCAACAAGACCCAGATTGTTCAAAAAATGGGCTATTCTCGGTCGATCAAATAGGCAGGTGTGATATATATCTCCATGACCGGACATGAATGATTTTCTCAACTAGGGATTTACGCGCCAGCAGTTTATCCTTTTCCATCAAACAGTTTGTTTTTAATAAGCCCATGGCGGGCATGATTTGAATGTTATTGCAAGAGCAAATCACTACACCATACTCAAACATACAGGAAACCACAAGTTAAATTATGGGCACGGGAGTTGTCGGCTTACAACAGCACGGCGGTGTTTCATCCGTCCGTCCTTGTCTTACAGATTTACAGCGAATTAACAAGGTCACATGCCATGGTACATCTGACTCCGAGAAAACGTTTTGTCTGCCATTACCGGTGCACAGGTGTACGGGTTAAAGTGGTCAGCATGAAAGCCCTAACGGATTTCAGCCAAACGGACCGATGCACCAACAGAATAAAACGTTCGTTAACAGTGATAAGGTTTGGAATTATTCCATCTCAACTGTACATGTCTGAACTGCGATTGACGGGCGTACTGAAAAGCATTAGCATTGATCAAATACTATATGTTTACAGAGTCTGTGATACAAAGCCTTCGTTTCCATTGGTGTGGTTCATCCTAATAACTATTACAAGACTGTTACTAACAAAAGTCATTTCAAGAGGTTCGGAATAGAGTGCCCCAATCAATCACAGCATGAGACTTACCGAGAGCTCAGTTAACTCGCGGATCTTCGTAAAGAATAAATAATGGTGATGATAATCGTTCAGATGTAACAACATCTTGGTTCCTAGCTGCCATGCTACCCAAAGGAATCACGATGACTGGGATACAGTCAAGTTGCCTGACCGTAGACAGGAAAAGTCGAGAGGCAGTGGTCGCGCTCTAACTACTGAGCTATTTCGCTCCAATAGTACTAATAAATATAGAATAGATAAATGAAAGAATCATTAGAGAGAGAAAGGGAATATGTACCCTTATTACCGCATTGCGATCATAGGTATATCACCAACTTTGAGACGGGAGCCGCTGAACTTACCTGAACGTTCAAACTGTTTTGGTGTTTGGGAATAACCGAATGTAAATTCATGGAGTTCAGCTGCCTGAACTTGTTAATGCGGTATTTCGCGGGGTTTTCGTGAGTGAGTAATTACATACTTGTTAGTCAGCTTTGTACAATTATTCTAGTAGAATCAATTTTTGATCGGTATTATTGGAAACACATCACATGTTTGCGCTATTCAAACGCCTGGTTGATTTGAAGACCTAACACTCACCTTGAGCGAATATTTTGGTTAGCACCGGACGATATTCATTGGCTCTTGGCACAGCTGGAGATGTGCATGGTCATGCTGTGCTGACTACAAAAACCACACAAAAATAACTAATGGCTACAGTCGACTAACCAAAAGACGACTCACCAATGGCTTGGTGTCTGCTTGCACAAAACGATTCCATTTTCTAGGTTCTCGATGTCAACAAACTTGGTAAGATGAGCAATCAGCAATCGAGAAACCTAATATGTCTTTGATCGACATCGTTGTTAAATTAAGTGCGGTGGATGTTTGGCCGTACGAGTGTCACGCCAACGCAGACAGTATATTATTTGGTAGACGCCCAAACGAAGCAATTCAGCCTGAAGTGAGTTTCGTTCACGTGTGTTTGATATGAATTTTTTAGCATTGTTATCTTCATTTATCATTTCCATGGGTTCTAATTCACTGAAGAAAATCGGTTTTAAAGTGTTCGGTAAACTTCATCAGCCTCCCTCGCCTTAATTCCGACGTTGGTGCCTAAACATTTTTTGTAGAGGATATTTAACGGTTACTTTTCTTGTGGACCGCGTAGGCCGGAAGGGATTAACGATGCTGCGCCGGAGTGTTTCAGGTTTGGGTTGCTTCACACCAGTGCGCAATGTTTCTCGCTCCTTTCACACTACCAAAACTAAGGCCACATGATTTGTTCGTTTCACATCCATATTTTTCGCATCCACTGATTTCCTGTCTTTGTTTCAATACTCTGATAACCGAGTAACTCCAGTCTTTCCCTAAACAGAATTTTTAGGCCCCACGTATGTTCATTTTTCCAGGGATTCAAACGCCAACCGTCAGACATGGTGGACAGACGTGATATTAGTAATGACTGAGCAGTGTTTGTCTGCACTTTCAGATTATAATGTGTAAACTAAACAACATGCTTACACTTGAAAGGCGTGCTTGCTGAAATTCTGTAGACGTTTTTGAGTCATCGACAGATTTGCGACAGTAGTCTTGACATTGGACTAGTTAATCGTTGTCATGCAGACAAAGTAGGTATCAGTCCTACGATTAGAATCTTAGAGCACCTTATATTGGCCGTTTTGTCAATTGTGCCCGAGAAGTGTCACCAAGAAAATGATTATTAAACCGGTTTGCCTTATACAGTCGAGCTTTAACTTAATATACAAGTCAGCGGGATACCGGGTTTTTTAAATGTAAACGCAAATGTCTACCGACCTAACTTACGCATTGTAGCTGGGGACTCTTGTCACAACTTGTACGCTTGCACTGTGTCGCTACCCATAAAGGTTCAAATTGCTCTAGGGTTCGCAACAAATTTAATCCCCGAGTGGATTGCTTGTTCTACTGCAATCAAAATTATTCCTTAATAAAACCGTTTGACCCTCAAGGTCGTTCGCAAATCTGCTATATGATATAGCATTGCTGGAACGTGTGCACAAAAATGAGGTAAAAGAGTGCAACCGGAAGTCTTGATTCCAACCCCTCCGAAACTCAGACTACATACACTTGGATATTCCACTTATGCAATAACCTTATCCTAATTCATTTTGTACCTTTGTCCTTAGTGGTATTCCTCAGCATGTGAAAGAAACCGGTATTGGTCATGGTTCTACGTTGGAATTTTTCGAACAGTGTAGCACATATTGAGCGCACTACTTACATTGTTGCACGTGCTAGTCATGCCCCCGAATATGAGTATCCTGAATGCACTCATTGGTTGTTCTTCAAAAAAACCACCCGTCTGTTCTCTGAGGTTAGCCAATGGCTTGCAAATGCACGGATAATGTCTCGTCAAATCTCCAGTAGATGCTTGCAAGCAGGGCAAACAAATCAATAGCCACCAGGTCGAAATTCAGGGTCTCTGCGAGAAAATGCTGACTCTTTTTTTGAAGGGTAAATTTACTATAAATGCTGGGAATGATCGTAGAAAAGCTGTGTAAGTTTTCAGATACGGATAGTTAAATTTCGTTAGGACTATTAATTCGTGATATTTAAAAGGTTTTACTGAGGTAGAGCCAAATATCGAATCTACGTAGGTTTTGAGATTTATAGTCCGGTATCTAAAGTGAGAGTGTTGAAGAGTGATATTTCACTAACTGTTGACCTGGACTAAACTTTTCTACCACGTTACAATCACTTTTTCTGATATGTAGAACAAACCACTTATTGTAGGGAGTAGGTTGGTCAATGTTCAAGCCAGTATACATTCTTATCATATTACGAAGATGACTGATGAGGCTTTTTAAGAAATAAGATTTCGTGGCATCATCAAATAAACTAAGTCGAAATATTTAAGGAATGTCATTTTCGAGACACAAAATCGTCTCCGCGAATGAGACACAATAATGATGTAGTGTTGCAAGGATCTATTCGCAATCAAGACTAATGATGCATCTTGACCACTTTATCCAGGGATAATGGAACAAACTTTGAACTGCCTAAATGAGGTTAGTAAACTTCAAAGGGAAGATTAATTAGGTGCATCATCATATTACACATACGCTGGAAAAACAGGAAGCAAAACATGACAGCTATTATTTTTCCCTTTTTTGATACTTCTGTGTACATCATACAACTTATCTCAGGAGCTTGTTTGTGCTGATTAAATTCAGATAGAATTTCATTGAAACATTTCTTTTGCTTGTGGAGTTGTTCGGATTGGCATGTTTAATTTCGTAATCTAATTCAAAGAATATAGGTCTATTCCATGCATGATCACTTCTAACTAGAATTTTCTTCCGAATTTCACAGATGCGTAATTCTCTACTGGCGTTTTTTGTCTGTGGGATAACGTTCAGTGTTCAAACAAATATACTAATCGGGAAGGAATGTTCGAGAGTGACAGATAAAATCGTAAATTACTGCACGGTTGATCCACTAACCAAATATGGCTGTTTCAGTAAGTTTTTTGGGTCAAATGTTCACACTTTGTCGTTAAACGTCGCCGAATTAATCTGGTGATCAATAGCTACATGCGAACAAACTTCAATAAACGGCAAACCACCATCTGTCTGCTGCATCCGACTAGATAATTGCCAAAAGGGCGCTACCAATGCAACTAAACTGGAATAAACATTTGCTTATTCTTTTATATCTCTTTAAAGCGTTTGACTCTTACTGGGGTTTTGAACTACAAAATTGGCAGCCACATTTCTGAACGCTAAATATTTCCGAAGGAGGTTAGAACCGACCTTGAGCTTCACATTTAAGCCTTTAGGATCTACCTTCCAGCATCGTATGCAATTTAATGTCAATAAGCCACTGCAAGATTTGATAGTATTTCACGACCCCAAATCGTCGTTTTGACGGAGATACTAATTTAAGTTGTAGTAATTTGAGGGTTTAAGTCAATGCCTCATGTGTTCTCAGTATGTCTTGTGAAAAACCCAGCCCGACTTGCAACTTTCTGTAAGCTTCAAGCTATCCGACGGATGTATTACATTTTGTGGCCAAAATACCTATGAAATGTATTAGTAGGTAACATTATTTACGCATCGACCGACAAGAGAGTTTCGTCCGCCTGTATCTTACTGCTGGAATTTTACGCCTGAGTTGTATCTCTAGTGGAGTGTGTTCATATACACTCTGGTGCAGCTTTTTTCGTTCCAAAGTACACTAAACACCCAATTTGGCAAAGGTCTGGTTAGTCCAATTTACTCAATATTGTTTCATCGATAGCTTTGGGTGCTGGGTTTATGCCGCGTATCGTTATCTTGAACGAAACGTTTGGTTCCGGTTAGTGAGTCGTCCGGCTAACTAGGTATTTTGCTGCAGAATCTGGTAAGTGTCTACCTTTATTTTCACTTTAAAGTAGACTTGTAATCTCGACTGATGGAGTTGAAAATGCTCAATTATTCTTTGAAATAGGTACCGTTTGGTTTCACTGATCGTCCCACGGCTGCAGATGAGCTGAAGAATGGCGCTCGGGGTAGAATGCGCTAGTTAAACATGTCGACTGTGGCTGAGAAGTGTGGCTTCCTTATTCATAAACAGGAACAGCCAAGTTTGGGGATCAATGCTAAGTTGATGGTCGTTTTCTGAAAAATGCCACCCTGGTTAAAACATTGGTGAATAGAAAAGACTTAAAACGTTCCTTATGGGTTGGTACACAACCGTGTGGATATAAAATTTTTGCTGGAACCTGTAGTGCAATAACACACACAACCCGATTTTCCGAACATTTTGGAGTTGCGCTGTGAGAAATGTCGGAAATAAGAGTCTGTCAAAGTTGCAGATTCAACTGGCCAATGAACGTCTTTCAGAGAAATGGCCAAAGTGGAGGCGGCAAACGTCCGCCACAGTTATTCTGGTAAGCCCACCTCAAAGAGAGGAAGAATTGGACCCGAGACTCGCTTCTCTTAGAACTTATCAGCAGTGCCTGTTTTTGGCCGTGTAAGGGCTTGAACTCCGCACATCTGTTACATTAGGCGTGCGCGTCACCTCCACTCGACTAGCGCATGCTAGATGAGACTAAATTTCTCGTCTGAACAGGCGAGCGTGCTGATGCCTCACCGATGCGGCTTGTTTCCCCGATGTGTTTTTATGCTCCGAGCGTACGCATTACTGATGAGCGAAACGCGATTCCAGTTCTTACCTCCTTTGTGTAGACCCACCAGAGTAATTACGTTAGGACGAGAGAGTGACCTGGGCGTGGAATCTACA